ACTACTTGGACTAATAGCACAAATACAATCAACTACTTTTACTGTGTACTTTTTGATTAATACTCGGTCAAACCCCCGTCCTAAGTACAATAATTCCTGTATTGTATATTAACTATGAATTATTGTACTCAGGACAGGAGTTTAACCAAGTATTACTCAGAAAGTACAGAGTAAAGATACTTGGTTGTACTTGTGGTAGTAGTCCAAGTAGTACTGAGTCCAACAGTATCAATTTCATGTAGAACTTATGGTAACAAATATTTGTATCCCTCAACAAATATGGCAGAATACATGAATGATTGTACTCAGGAGGGGAGTTTGACAGAGTATTACTCAAAAAGTACACAGTAAAAGTACTTCATTGTATTTGTGGTTGTAGTCTGAGTCCAACAGTAGGGCCTACCAATTTTATTAAGAACTTATGGCTAAAAATCATTTTATCCGTCATCAAATATAGCAGAAGTGGCTTGAATTTGTTCTCAGGAGGGGACTTTGACAGAGAATAACTGAAAAAGTACAAAGTAAAAGTAGTTCATTTTATTGTTGGTAGCAGTCAAACTAGTACTGAGTCCAAATTACTGTTCATGGTCATTTGAAAACAAATGCCGGTGTCGGACATACACAAACACACCGAACACACGAGCGGAACTGAGCACAGCACAAACACACACATCATGCGCCTTGTGGACCGGACATCTCCTTCATAAAACGAGTAATAGGGGGAATAATCGGGCAGTTCGACGTGTGTAGAAGTGTGTGTGTGTGTGTGTGTGTGTGTGTGTGTGTGTGTGTGTGTGTGTGTGTGTGTGTGTGTGTGTGTGTGTGTGTGTGTGTGTGTGTGTGTGTGTGTAGAGGTGTGTGTGGCTATAACGAAGCAGCCTGCAGTCGCTCTTTAGCTGTCTAATGAAGGTAAACACAGCGAAGGATGTGTGTAAAAGGCACAGCTCCACTTCCTACTTGGCGAACCTGTAACTTTCTTGTGTGCACGAGAACGTAACTCTTGCGCACGAGAAAGTATATCGTGATGAGCAAAACCATGTCACTTCACCCAGGTGGTTTCCACAGAACGGACAAAACATGTTTAACGACCATAAACACACTCGTACCGTCCATAGGTACCGGCGGTCTATCCGCCAAAACAAACTTAAATTTGTGTCAATCACTTGCACGTCACTTCTGGTATGATGGGCATTCCCTTTCCGGTTTGATTCTCTAGTGTTTCGGCAAATGTTAAAGTGTTTCGGGAAATGTTAAAGTGTTTCGACAAATGTTAAAGTGCTTCATCAAATGTTAAAGTGTTTCGACACTTGTAAATGTGTCTCTAGCTTTGTAAAAGTGTTTCACATCTTGTTAATTTGTTTTTGTTAATGTTAAATCGTTTTTTCTTTGGTAAAAGTGTTTTGCTAATGTAATTTTGTTTTATAAAATGTACATTTGTTTTATAAAATGTACATTTGTTTTATAAAATGTAAATTTGTCTCAAGCTTTGTTAAAGTGTTTCACACTTTGTAATTGTCGATTGCACCTCTCAGCCACCATACTTAACCCTTGTTGTATGGTGTTCGGGTCTGTGGGACCCGTTTTCATTATTTATCTAAAGAAAGATTATATCATCAATTATTTTTTCAAACTCACACTCAATGGCCTTGGCTCATTTTCTGTGAAGAACATATATCAGAACACATTTTCAATTACCACCCACTGTACCCCCCCCCCCCTTTAAAAATACATATATAAATATATATATAAAATAATGTATTATATTACATGATTGCCTCTGCATTGGATTATTATCAGATAGGGTAATAACTTCTTAACTAGAGAATGCAATTCCTGAAGAAATTTCTAGTGGGAATGCTTTATGCTGAAAAGCTGACGCTGAATTGCTATGCTGAAATGTAATGTGTAAGAAGAAAGTGAAGAATTTAGATTGAAATGATACATGAACACTGGGGGCTTGAATGTGTGATGAGAGAAGAAAATAAAGTAAAAAGGCTTGGAAAAGCAGCAGAATATTTGAACTGCAAACTTTTTAACTAAGTTGATGGCGAATGATCTGTCGCCATGCCAACAGCATTTGATGACATCCCATAATACGCTTAGATGCGTTGATGGCTGCATCGTTACCAAACCTGTGAAGTTTTGGGCCGTTTGGAGCATTTTCACTGAAGTTATGAGAAAACCGTGTTTCATGGCGAGCATTGTGTTGCCATGGCAACGGAATTTGAAGAAATCTCAAAACTGTCCCGTAGATGTCTTCACGGCTGGACTGTTAGCACACATGTGAAGTTTGAGCACTTTTTGAACATTTTTAGGAGTTAATGTATAGCGACATCATCTTTTATGGCGAGGGATGCGTTTCCATGGAAACGGCATATGATGACACCCCATAATTGACGTAGAGCTGTTGAGGGCAGGACCATTAACCATTATCTGAAGTCTGCTGCTCTGAGCATGTCAGTTGGAGTTATGACATCATCGTGTTCCATGACACAGGTGTTTATATTTGAGCTAACGAGGTGTCCCGAGATCAAAGTTTTCCATTGTTGTGAATGAGAGATAAACCTCTTACATGTGAACGTTTTGTTGAAGAACCGTAACAGATATCGGTGACATTTCAAAGCGTGAAGCATCTCAAGGACCTTGAGTATCTGAAGTGTGCTTTTTGTGTACTTTCGGGTCAATAATGTGGCCTTTTTGGCAGATTAACTAAAGGTGTGCGGCTGCTGCTGTGAGGAAATATCAGCCTGAAATTACAATGGGCTTTAATGGAGACATGTTGAAAGTTTTTGTCACTTCATGCCCTCAAGAGGCATTTTGTTTAATTATTTTTGCCTAATTATTTGTCATTTTTCAAGCTACGAGATGTTTTCCTACGTTTGTCATGAAAAATGATGTCTCAGGAATGTAGGGTTTGGGAATTATGGCAGTTTAAAAAAAAGATATGATGGCAAATTTCAAGATTTCCTACACTCTAGCTGTGACATCACGCACTCTAGTTAATGTTAAAATCTGAAGAAGGCCTCTGTACCAAGGTCTGAACAATGTTTAATATCTCTAAAAGTAAGAATCAGATTTAAAAGTTGTGTTACACGAATAATGTCAGAAAGATGTGTAACATTAGGAATAAGGAATAAGGTTTCTGAGTGAAAGTATGAAGGAACAGTTAGCAGTTGAAGTCGCATGAAGATTGTTCAAGTCTGAAGATTTTCTCCATTGACTTCAATGGTTAAAAATGTGATGAATTATGGGATATATCTCGGGAATTATAAAAGTTATGAATGAGAAAAGTAATAGCCATCGATTCCCGACCGAGCTTTTGATGTTTGAACGGAGTTTCTGCGATGTGGAATGCGGGAGAAGACGACCGGCAAAATAACGGGTGGAATAAGAATAAAGAATTTCGTGCGTAGAAGAACAGATAGTTGGAAAAAAGAAAATACATTTAAAAATAAAAAAATGACATTTTGAAAAAAGAGTCACATTCTAAGAAAAAAGGCATATTTAGAAGAAAAAAAAGTCTAATTCTGAGAAAAAAAGGCTAATTTGAGATGCATTGTGGGACATGTAGTTTATGGGCAACGTGCTTCTGTAAATCATGTAACCGTATAATAAACATATAATATTCTTTGCAAGCTCTTGTGGGGCCACAGAAAATGAAGTCACAAGCCGGATTTGGCCCCCGGGCCTTGAGTTTGACACCCCTGATGTAGAGGAAGAGGAAGATGTTTCAGAATGTGAGGATCACATTTCTGAGAATTCTTTGTCTGACAGTCACTGTCAACACAACACAATCAAACTATTTTATGTTAAAATACTCAACAGATGTTTACTTCATCGCAATAACAAGCAATATAAACAGCATATATGGTTAACATTTGCCCTTTTACATTTGTTAGATCACATTAATGAATTAAAGTGCTACTTGTTTTTTTGAAGAAGAGGATGAGATTGAGCATCAGCTAGTTACAAAAAAAAGATGAACCACACGCTGGTCCTGTGGCACTTTAATTCATTAATGTGATCTAACAAATGTAAAAGGGCAAATATTAACCATATATGCTGTTTATATTGCTTGTTATTGCGATGAAGTAAACATCTGTTGAGTATTTTAACATAAAATAGTTTGATTGTGTTGAATTGAAACCCAAAAAGGCAGCGGGTCCACCAGACCCACGAACACTGGCTGAATAACAAAAATATGAACACCACACAAGTGTTAAGTACAGTACTTGAGTAAATGTACTTATTTAAATTGCACCACTGTATACTTGCTCCATCTATTAATATAAAGGATCTAAATACTTCCTTTACCCGTTTAAACAGCCAATTTCGCCCGAAAAACAGGAAAACCAGGGGTTTTAACAGTCCGACCACCAGGCAGTGGGGAAATAAGACCGCTCCTTTTCTTGAACAGAGCTTTTCTGGAGCCTCTCTGTCTCTCTGCAGGTTCATGGTTTGCTGCTTTGTTGTTTCCAGGCAACGCTGAATATGATATGTCCGAGTGACCTCAGCAACTAAAGCTGTCTTTCAGCTGAAAACAAGTCTTATCGAGGAAATGAACCGACAGTTAGGAAGCATCTGCTGGTGAGGATGTGCACGCTAATCAAATCAAGGAGAAAAGGCCTTGGCGATAACAGGCATGGTTTACATAATAAAACTCTTTAGACTGAGATATTTTACAAGGTTACTTCAGAAGTTATTCTAGATAACTTTTCAGATGTTGGTTCCTAATGAAGGAGGATGATCTTTGGCTCATGTAAGAGTTATTCTCAGTAAAACTGGAAATTCATGTATTAGTTTATGCCTCATAGACTTCCATCACATTGCAGTCACAAAGCTGAGCATTGGATGTACTAAAAAATACATAGTCAGCAACCTTTGAAAACCAGCCCAACATTTAAAACTGTTCTGAAGATCTTTGCAAAGCCTGTTATGACTCACCTAACCATTTGATCAAAGAAGTGTCTCTCACCCCACACATATTGGACTCGGACACATTTAAAAAAGCATCATCATTTGGAAACTATTTATTGAACATTTGCAACCAGATATCAGTTAAATACAGAACTGTCATGTCTCTCTCTACATCCCCCAACAGCAGGGACTGGCTCCACTTCATTACACTGAGAGGAGGGAATGTTACAGGACTTGGTAAGGCGCACACTGTGCTGGAAGTCATTTGGCTTTCTGTCTTCTGATAATAAAAGAGAAACTAAATCTAAGTCTGCCTCTCAAATGTCCAAAAAAAACTGCTGCCTCTCCTCTCTCCGCAGCTAGATCCTGCGCGTACAGACAATGGCAAAATGACACAAATATGAGCCGAGAGGAGAAATCCAGTATAGACGACTGAGACACACCCCTTACTGAACGTCGTCCGAGATGTGTAGCCATGATTTGAAAAGCTAAAAGTAAAATGATCAACATGAATATATTAGAAAAAAAAAAAATGGCAATTAGTCTTTAATAAACACCTCGCCTCACCTACTCCCAACAAGACCAGGGTTATAAATTAAAACTGTCCAAATAAAATCAATCAACCAAGACTTTGGGCCCATTCAGTTCCATTTCAAGACTGGAAAATCCTCATTGAAAAAAAACAAATGGCACTTTTCAGTCTCTTGAACTGGAATCTAGAATTTCGACTCCCAATGGAATCGACCCCCAACCCTAAAATCAACTCTTTCTAATTTACATATATGGGTCAGGCGCTCTTCAAGCTTCCTCCATCCTCGCAAAGTCGCTCCCCCCCAGGACAGGGGGACCTCTGTGCTGTGGGAGGGGCTAGGCCACGGTTTTGAAGGTCTGCAGTATGAGGTTGGTTTGGTGGATGAGCCGGTTTGCACTGATGAAGACATTTATCGCCCTGGAAACAAAGAAGGGTAAAATGAGAAGAAACTCGCAGGTGCTCTCTAAACGATTGGCAAACTATATCCAAGTAAGGACATTGGTTCGGTCAGGACATTCAACGTTAGGCAGCCTGTTTAGTTAACTAAATACGTCACAAAGAGTCACTGCAAACATTCCTCCACTCCTTTTTTCTCTCACTAAACATCCGTGGTTCCTGGCATAATGGAAAATAATTAAATGTTATTAGGAATGAGAGGTTGAATGATTTCAAACAAATAATGTTAGTATGTCCGATTACCTCTGCTTCAACCAGCTTATTATTTGCTAAGGTAACAGAAGCATTCATAAATCAACTCAAGCTTGCCAAAACAAACAATGTCACTAAGACCAAATGACATCAACACGACGATAACAAGCGCTGTCAGCTTATTTAGTTTTATTTCCTTTTATTACCTTTTAAATGTCGATTATTTCCATTGTAGTAGAGTAATCTGTTCATTATTCTCTTGGTTAATGGTTTGTACATTGTCGGAATAAAGTCAAAAAAGGTGGTGAAGTGTTTCCCGACGCTCAAGATAACATCCTCAAATGTTGTAAGAATAAGCTTTTAAATATAGTGTCCCAGAGAAGAAAAGAAAGTGGATTTTTCCCTTTTTCTCCCTAAAACATTACCTAAACAAGACGGATAATATAAAAGTTGACAAAGTAAAAAGGTAAATTGATTCATATTTGAAGCTCTATCAGAAAGTTACAACATACAGTGTGTATAAAAGTAATTATGTCCTCCTTCTCTACATAAGAAATCCTACTCCAACTGAATAGTTTAACCTTTTGGGAATTACGCTTATTGCTTTTTTATGTAGAAAAGAGATGAGATGATTACTACTCTTGATGTTTGTTTGCTAAACATGAAGCTACCTCCTCCTGCTGGTTAGCTTATTTTAGCGCAGAGAGTAAAACACTTGGCCTGGCTGTCACGCTTTGAATAAACCTGGATTACTTCTTGGCATTGGCTTCCTAGAGTCTTGCTTTCACTGGGGGGTTGCCAGGTCATTATTAAGAATGCAAAAAGTGATCAAATCAACTCACTAATGTAACAAACATCATCTTAAATAAGCCATTGAAAGCATTCATGTCTGAAAAGAATCACTGATAACCCAACTTTCAAATATGAGGTGATGGTTTAAATGATGGTTTAAACGTACTTTCCGTCTTTGAAGTATGTTTTGAGGGTGTCGCTGAAGCTTTTGGAGTATTTCACAAACTCCTTTTTCTGGTGCTCAAGAGCCTAAACAAATAAGAAAAGAAACAAAGGAACATGATTAATAAAAAGGGAAAAAGGAACATGAGAATCGTACACAGGTCTGTTGTTTTTCTCTGGTACTCACTCTGCGATTCTGGTACTGATATTTCTTAATGACGTTGTTGACTGTGTCCAGGAGCTCTTTAATGGCGCTGGCTATGTCTCTGTAGGAAACCAACAGCAACACAAGTGAGGATTTCAGAGGATTTCATAACCAGGTTTCACAGGAGTAATAGCCGGTGACGAAACAGACAGTGACAGTAAAAAAAAAAGGCAGCATTGTGTTCTTTGTACAGTCCTCACCATCCTCGCTGTTTTTCTAATGCAAGGTCATGCAAAGTAGGGCTGCACCCAATACTTCACAGCTGTATTCATATTTTGCACAGTAGAATTTTAAATAAACATCTTGCATGAGTATTCACTCTTTTTAAAAGACCAGTATTTCTGTATTCAGTTAAAGATTGGGATACACTTATTTTAATAATATTATACTATTTCTAGAATTAGATGGTAGCTGCATAGGGTTCGATTAAATTAACTAAACCTCATTTTTTTTCTTGTGTGATCCAAATATTAACAATTACTCCAGAGCGTTGTAAATTCCAAAAGACGACATTTGTTAAAAAAAAGATATATTGAATAACTTTTAAAAGTCACAACTTTTTAAAGTCTCAAAATGTTTTCATCTACCAAAGTATTCTGTATCAATCTATATTTGTTGGAGGCTCATTTTTTAATGTGGTTGCAGAATACAAAAGGGAGGCAGACACTGATGAGTTGATTAAATTAAAAAGACAAACTCAATCAATCTGATGAATATCTTTAGTTTGACGTCATAAACAGATGCTTTGGATGTTAACAAAATGTGGTACAATTCTAATGAAGAGGTTAAAGCCACTGAAGTCCTGACTACTAAATCTGCATTTATTCGCAATGTGTAAATCCCTGGTAGGGCTTGTGAAGATTGCTGTATATTTTTTGTGTGTGTGTGTATGTGTATGTGTATGTGTATGTGTATGTGTGTGTGTGTGTGTGTGTTCAAGGTTCTTTATTGTCAATCTGACATAGCTACAGAGTAATTATGTAGTTGAAAATCTTATGTCACAGGCTTCTCCAACAATGCAACATAATAACATAATAACAATAAGAGCAAGAGCAATACAAAAAGAATAATAGTTATAAAATAAACTAAAGTTATGATGTGGAATAGTGCAATAGAGTCTATATACAAGTTATTGGAATGATATATATATTAGGTATTAGATACATACTACTGAGTAGCAGATGAATGTTTGAAGTTGTTTTAACAGTTCAATTTTTTAACAGTCTCACTGCCCGCGGGAAAGAAACTGTCTCCGAATCTTCTTGTCCTTGCCAGGATGCTGCGGTAACGTCTGCCAGACGGCAACAGAAAGAACAGTTTGTGGCTGGGGTGATGGGGGTCTTTGATAATCCGTAGTGATTTTGTGTGTGTGTGTGTGTGTGTGTGTGTGTGTGTGTGTGTGTGTGTGTGTGTGTGTGTGTGTGTGTGTGTGTGTGTGTGTGTGTGTGTGTGTGTGTGTGTGTGTGTGTGTGTGTGTGTGTCTTCTCACTTGATAGTCTGTAGGAAGCGTACTCTGTCGTTGATCTCATCGGGTATTTTGCTGAGGATGTGTTTCAAAGCTCTGGCCTTATCATTTAGGTCCAGAAACTCCTGCTCGGGCCGGTCAATCATGAACTCTGCAGAAAATAAAAAGGGTGTTCAGCAGCACATTCCAAGACACTCAATGATTTATAAAACTGGGCCCCTTAAGTCAGTACAGAAGAGAACAGCTTGATAGGATGGGCATCACCTACAAACCTGGTTTTCAGATTCACTAAAGACAGTTTCTATCATAGTACACTCTTCTCTCATATGCTCACCTTCCACATCATCCGCTGCCATTCGCAGTAGGGATTCTGTGAAGTTGATCTGGACATTCTTTTTCTCCAAAATCTTCATTATGATGTCCTGAGTCAGGCCAGGGTTCTCCCTCTCCGCCTGACAAAAGGAAATGTAGGCAAGCAGGGTGAGGATGAGAAGTGAATAAAATAACTCACAGCGCAGTTTGTATTTAACAAAAGCAAGAAGAGGCTTTGATCTGCGGAGAACAGTGGCAGAACTTTATTGAATGTCAGATGTCCGCGGTGAGCAGTTTAGACTGACGCACAAAAGCCCTTCTCCTGAATAATTCAGCCTTGAGTTACAGCAGCCAGGAAGCAGTGGGAGCAGAAGAGAGACCAATCACTGAGACAAGTGAACAAAAGACCCACAAATGTCATAGTAAAACAGCTGTAAGGTGATCACATCTCCCTTTGGTCTGGATAACGGCAAAGCTACTTCTCCTTCATTAATATTTTATCTTTGCTCGCAGCGGTACACTGCTACAGAGGTGATCCATGGCCACTGAGCTTTTAATATTCCGGTGCAATCACAGCAGTGTATTAAAAAAAAAAAGAAGAGATGAACAAGACATGAAGAACATCTCTTTGATGACTACTTTCTTAGTTTAAATAACCTTTGATTTTATATTGATGGCACATGAGTAAACACTGAATATTAATCATTTAATGTTGGAGATGCACAAGCATTATGAATATATGAATGAACCATACATTAATAATAATTGACTATATTATTTATTATAAAAGGTGCTATGAAGAAAACCAAATCAAAATATTTTAATCAGATAGATCATTCATTTAAAATGCCACTGGATATCCCTAGTCCATTGGGTCCATTTATAGCAATGTCTCAGCAATCATGATCACATGTTATCACAACAAATAGAGTCAGTGGCTCTAGTGATGGAAATCAATACATCGATGTAAAAAACTGTGATTTTACTAATCTGAAAACACTGGCAATTTACACATTACACAGGAAAAAGCAGCTGTTGTTGGCTGGAGTTGTCTACTTCATGCGTAGGTATTTTTCAATCAATTTACATAAACAAAAATTTGCACCAGGAAACATCTTGGTTGGCTATGTTGTTATGTCATCGTCAAACTGGGAAGTTAAAGTGTGTACACATGTCCTTAGGGAAGGAAATTAATCTAATATTTGTAAGAACATTAGATAAATGTGAAAATGGGATGCAGCCTAGATGTAATCCTACGCTGATGTGACATGGAGTATTGAAAGGTCATGGGAGTGATAATATTGTGTTTTTATCATTTAGGTCATCTGATTCAGGCATAGTTGTACCTTTATGAAGGCCGCTCTGAGCGTCTGGGCTGCTGATAGGTTGATCCTCTCGAGCTAAAGAAAAACAAAATAGAAAACAGTCATTATCAAAGCAACTCTGTACCCATTTGGCTTTAGCTGCGTCTCCGAGCATCTGAGAAGACCCATTTCTTGGAAATAGTTTTGCAAATTGGAAGTTTAGTTATACCACTTCAACATTATACAGTGTGTTTTAGCATTTGTTGTTTAATGGCAGTTGTTTTTCGTACATTTACATTTTGCCTAAACTATGATGACTGTATATATATATTTTTTTAGAGTTTTACCTCGTTGAAAACGGGGTACATCACTGCATACAGTGTCATGGATACCATGGAGTTTGTCTCCGCTTCATTCTTCATCTCCTCCATTGTCATCCTCCAGGGAGGAGCGGCTCTTGGTGAAAAGGTGAGGAGGAATCTGCAGCTCACACACACACTCACACATACACTCACCCACTCACACTCACACACACTCTGAAAACCACACAAGCTCCAGAGAAACAAGCGTCTGGAGGAAGGAAATTGAAAGCTGATTAAGCATGGGTTGACTATTTCAAGGCCTTCATAGATGTTGTTTGTCTATATGGCAAAACATTGAGAATGTAGGTAACAGTTTGGAATGCAATGATCCGACCAACTGTATCGCTGAGCCTCCTTTGATTAAATGGCTCAGATACTAGCCATGATGTAAACAGGTTCTGCTGGAGTGTCAATTTAAAATGCAGTGTTTCAGATCTATCTTACATTCATTCAGTCACAGCCTCATGTTGCCTAATTAAATCATGGTTCCAATGATTCCTCGCATTGAGGTATGAAGATGTGAAATTTGGGAAAGCTTTATGAAAAGGAAATGGTATTGAATGGATGCTGCAGGACATTTTACAGTTAAAATGTAAACTTGTCGACACTCTCTGGTGGACAAACCATGACATTCATCTAAAACGTATCTTTGGCATTGCTCTACTGCATTTTCTTCATACTTATCAGACAACATATGCAGTGATATTAATATATAGCAACCAGTACTGTATATCTTAAATGATATAGGCTCTACTACGATAAGTAGTCCACAAACATCAGGAAGAGATAACTTGGTGGTATGTTTTAACATAAAGGAGGGGAGTGGCACAGCTATGCGTTACCTGCCGGTGACAGCAAAGGCAATGTGCAACAACAGCAATAATAAATGTGCAGTCATTTTAAAAATTATGAAAACAATTATGAGCCCTTACAAATAAATTCCACTTCGATATGAATGATTTAAAATGTTTTTCTTAATTTAAAGAGCAAGAAAACAGTGCTGACAAAGAGTTGGCAGTGCAGCTTAGTTTTTTTGTTATTAGATATATAGATAGATAATAAAACCTGACATAAACAGCATATATACATATTTACAGTAAAAGAGACATATATCACACATAATATACAATATAAAATATTCTGGATGAATTTGAATGTTTATAAAAGGCCAATATACTACAGCAACAGAAATATAGACATATATTACAGTAAGACACAAGACATATACTACAGTAAGAAATACACTACAGTAAGACATTATACTACAGTAAGATAGTAAGACATATACTACAGTTAGAAATAAGACATACTACAGTTAGACATATACTACAGTAAGACATCACAGTAAGACATATACTACAGTAAGACATATACGACAATAATTAGCTAACGTTAACCAGTTTAATGTTAGCATTTATGTATTTGGCTGGCTTATTAAGTAATTTTGCAATTTCTAATGTTTCCAGTAAGATAAACAATAATATGACTAGTGTTCTTTGACCCGATGGTTGGCTAACTGGCAGGCTAAAGGGACTAGCAAGCTGGATACATTCAGCCCCAGGTAACAGCTAGGCGGCTAACTAGACATAGCTAACAAAGTAGCTGATCTAACTTTAACTGATCTTTGACGTTTTATTTACGGCAACAGCCGTTCAAAACCAATTCTCAGAAGGACAATTGTCTTGGTAAAGCAAGCGATTTATCTTGATCTAGCCGTAAAGACACCCATTTGAGGCCTATGGCCGACCAGACCGATGGTAGCGAACAGCTAGCCGTCAACAGCGTAGCTTACGTTGCTAGCCTCACTAAATTGGACATTTGTATTTGCTGCTGAGCTAAACACGAGTCAACAAACTACTAAAGGGCATGTGTAAGTCGGTATGTGTGTGTCAGATTTGAACTTGTATCTACCTTTGGTCTGACTTCTTAAATGGGTTGGTGACGCCGTCGATTGCCTTTTAGCTGCTATGTTTTCTTTACAAGTTAAGGCGGAAGTTTTTTAGGACTGGCGTGAGCGACATCTTCCGGACGGTTGCTACGTAAACACACGTCGTCCAATCAGAGGGCGGAGAAAGACAGAAACTGTGACGTTAAATAAAATAGAATGCATTCCTGTTATTGTGTCATGTTTTAGTTTCTTCATGGACGTTTAACCCTTGTATGGTATTCGGGTCTGTGGGACCCGTTTTATATTATTTAGCTAAAGAAAAATGATATGATAAATTATTTTTTCAAACCCACACTCAATGGCCTTGGCTCATTTTCTGTGAAGAACATATATCAGAACACATTTTCAATGACCACCCACTGTACCCCCCCCTAAACATTTACATTACATACAAGGTTGTTCGGGGTTGTGTGTGTGTGTGTGTGTGTGTGTGTGTGTGTGTGTGTGTGTGTGTGTGTGTGTGTGTGTGTGTGTGTGTGTGTGTGTGTGTGTGTGTGTGTGTGTGTGTGTGGTGTGTGTGTGTTTTGTGTTTCTGCCCCTGCCGGTCCCGCACAAGGTTGCAACATTGTTGATAAATTCAAGCACCGACACCTGTCTGCTCTCACATTCCCGTTTTGCGGGGAACCAATCTTTATTTTTTTCACACTCTGTCCCAGCTGCAAATTTGGGGCAAGACACAATAAATAAAGCTTCGCCAGTTTGGGTCCTTAACACAACTGATCAAGATGGCCAAAAGATTCTCTGCTCAGAGGGCCTTGCAAATGATTTTGGAAGAGAGAGAACCATTTGATGATGATGTAGAGTAAGAGGAAGATGTTTCAGAATGTGAGGATCACTTTTCTGAGAATTCTGAGTCTGACAGTGACTTTGAAGAAGAGGCTGAGATTGAGCATCAGCTAGTTACAAAAAAAAGACGAACCACAGGACCAGCCGGTCAGCGGGCAAAAAAAGTAGCACTTTAATTCATTAATGTGATCTAACAAATGTAAAAGGGCAAATATTAACCATATATGCTGTTTATATTGCTTGTAATGAAGTAAACATCTGTTAACATAAAATAGTTTGATTGTGTTGAATTGAAGCCCAAAAAGGCAGACCCACTAACACCGGCTGAGTAACAAAAATATGAACACCATACAAGGGTTAAATACATTGAATTAAGTAATAAATACGATATAGAAAGGTCTGTTTATATTCTTATTTCATATTAATTGTCAGAGGTATGTTAAAAGGCTCTGTATGTTATTTATTCTGAGAAAATTATGGTGAGAGGATTATACAAAACTAATTTCAATAATTGATTACATAGACATGAACAGAAATTCCATCAGTTTAAAAGTTGTTATAATTTGTATGTCATGGGTTAGCACCGCTACAAATTGTCAAATTGTAAATTCCTTTCACACCCATATCCAACTTCTAATCACAAGTCAAAAACAATAACACATTCGGATTCCTCCTGGCACAATAGTTTGGAAGTATCTGACAAACAAAAAGATATGATTGCTTGTGACAGTCTTTCTTTCAGAATAGTTGGTACCACTTTACAATAAGACTATACCCTTATAAAGGATTCATAAAGGCTTTATAATTAGGTTATGAATTAGGTTGTAAACACTTTATTAATCATTAAGAACCATTTATAAACCAGTTCTATACATCAACACAGGCTCACTATTTGGCAAGATGACTAAGCCTTATATTGGCTACTTAGCGAGAATCAACTCAGTGAACAACAGATACCAAGGATGCTGGCTGATGAAGAGGACGAAGTAAGCTAGGTAGCCAATATAAGACTTAGCAGTACAGATAAATGTGGGCTCACTATTTGGCAAGCAACCGGTCACAGTTGCCCTGTTTATCTCATGTCTTATAAAAGCTTATTAATGATTTATAAAGTGTTCACAACCTAATTAATAAATGAATTACAAACTATTCGTAAACCCTTTATAAGGGTAGTCTTATTGTAAAGTGGTACCGAATAGTGTAACACTTATTCACTAATAAATATTTTAAACCTTTTATAGTTGTTGTTTTTATGGTTAATATACTTTTTAAGATGTTATTTGTGTCTAACTTTTGATGACAAAAACTGCTGAGAAAAGCCAAAATTAAGTTGTAGCCTCAAAACAAGGCCTTACTCAGACCTGTTGAACTCATATTTATCTAACTCAATTTAATATTTGTTTGATTCTGTTAGCAGAAATATGAAGGTCATACTTATCAAAAAAGAGTACGTTAAATAATAATAATAATATTTATTTCACCAGGATGATCATTGATCAACTTATATACAATTGTTCAGTAATTATAGACATTTAAATCTTAATATCTCCTTGTTACATTCTTCATATGTCAAGGGGTCAAGGGTCTGACTCTGATTGTCTTTCTTTTCTCAGAGGAATGTAGAGGTCATCTTCCACGCTGTCAGATCAATGGTCTGGTTAATGTCACTCTGATCCATCAAAGGAATGCAGGCAGGCTCCAATGGGATGAGGCCTTCAGGCAATATGTCTGAAAGCACTAGAGATTCAATCTTCTCCTGGCCTCATCCTAGAAAAGCACATTTAATGTAAACAAGTATGTCACCATGAGGTTTATGCTGTTGATAGCAACATGGGTGTCCAAGGTTACTGGACTGCTCTAAAAAGGGAAAGCATTAATGTAAAACAACATCTGTTTACAGACCAAATATTGATATATTAAAGCAATAGATAGTATTTTTATTCTACTGGAGCATTTATTGTGCATTTTGTTATTAGATTTTGCATGGAGGCCTGTATATTTTACTTTTTGTCAAATGCAATATTTTACAAATAATATACTTTTTAAGATGTTATTTGCGTCTAACTTAACTTTTGATGACAAAAACTGCTGAGAAAAACCAAAATTAAGTTGTAGCCTCAAAACAAGGCCTTACTCAGACCTGTTGAACTCATATTTATCTAACTCAATTTAATATTTGTTTGATTCTGTTAGCAGAAATATGAAGGTCATACTTATCAAAAAAGAGTACGTTAAATAATAATAATAATAATATTTATTTCACCAGGATGATCATTGATCAATGTATATACAATTGTTCAGTAATTATAGACATTTAAACCTTATTATTACATGGCTTAGTTGAATACTCGATTCTGATTGGTCAATTTAGAACACGTGACACGTTGTTAATCCAGAACAGACAGACCGCTGTCAAGGATTTATTGACCGTTGTTAAGGACGCTCACATCTGCACAAACAAGTCCGGTCGATTGAACTGTATACAGTTTGGCCGAAAAGCAAACTGCATGCAGTATATATATATATATATATATATATATATATCCTTAATATTTAATTTGAAGATATATATTTTCTATTCAACAATATCCTGCCAAAAGGAAGGAGCATGCAGTTTGCTTTTCTAACTGACAAGACAAGAGCGACAAGAAAACAGCGGAGAAGTAACGGGCAGAAACCCTCCTTTTTACGCAGCGGTCCAGACATAGACATCAAACGGCGACACATATTCAGTTGCCAGTTACTTTGGCATTAGGGCAGGGATATCTAGATACTTTCCAAGGTTTGACATAATGAATTGTGCTAATTTTAAAGCAAGCAACGATGTTTTCAAATCTGTAATCAAAAAGCTCCGCCTTCCTGCCGTTGGGTTGCTTCGTTTTTTTTTTTCAAACGGTAACAATGGACTATTTTCCTTAGCGGATGCATGTCAATTTAAATCAATACATACAACTATTTTTTAAATCAATAAAATCATTTTCTAAATCCATAAAAGCATTTCAATTAATAGTGGGAGTCATATCATTACTTTGTTGAGAATGTGGCCATGTAATAAGCGGGATAATGTGCAGTGACGCGGTCATTATGGGGAAAAGAACACCGACAGGCTGATCAGGAGCCCAACGCGAAGCGGAGGGATCTAGATCTGCATGTTACATTCTTCATATGTCAAGGGGTCAAGGGTCTGACTCTGATTGTCTTTCTTTTCTCAGAGGAATGTAGAGGTCATCTTCCACGCTGTAAGATCAGTGGGTTAATGTCACTCCGATCCATCAGAGGAATGCAGGCAGGCTCCAATGGGATGAGGCCTTCAGGCAATATGTCTGAAAGCACTAGAGATTCAATCTTCTCCTGGCCTCATCCTAGAAAAGCACATTTAATGTAAACAAGTATGTCACCATGAGGTTTATGCTGTTGATAGCAACATGGGTGTCCAAGGTTACTGGACTGCTCTAAAAAGGGAAAGCATTAATGTAAAACAACATCTGTTTACAGACCAAATATTGATATATTAAAGCAATAGATAGTATTGTTATTCTACTGGAGCATTTATTGTGCATTTTGTTATTAGATTTTGCATGGAGGCCTGTATATTTTACTTTTTGTCAAATGCAATATTTTACTGCACCATTGTTTTTCTTTTGAATGCTTAATATTGTATGTTGCATTTTTTGAGAGGCCTGGGTATTTTAACTATGCAACTATAGCTGTTGTGCATATGGCAATACAATCTTTGAAATTGAAACAAATTATATATGAATATATATTTTTTACAAACTGTCTTACTTATGAGCAAAGCAAACAGGATATGTGCATATGCATGCCAGTTAGAATACAATACTTTGCTATTATATGGTCTATCCCAGACCAAAACTTAGGACATCACTAGCAATACGCAAGTAACTATGCTGCAAATACTGATGACTGATTGTATAAATGTATACCATTAGAATAGATTAAACTTTATTATTAAGTACTGAGACAACAAAATGCTGTAAAGCAGTAACATGCAGTGTATATTCACATATGCACATAGGACAAATAGTGAAATATGAACATTATACTTAGTTAAGTATGTACAGTATGGTGTAGTAGGTATATAATACAGTACAATATAGATTAAAGCAGAAATGAATACGGTGTTAAGATAAGATAAGATAAGATGGACCTTTATTAATCCCAGTGGGGAAATTCCCGTGGGGATAAAATCAAAGATAAAAAAAAAAATGATAAAATAACTATAAAATAAGAACATGCATATTTGGTCATGTGTACATATTATTATTTACATTTGTGTGTGTGAAAACATTATAAATCAGATATATACGGTGTGGACACTAGTAGTAAAAATATGCAAAAACTATAGG